AGAGAGAGAGAGAGAGAGAGAGAGGTAACCAATCAAATAAGTAGTTGCGATCATTGATGTTTAGTGACAGAACACGACCAACTCTTGGACTGGTGATCCCTAACCTTGTGTGTGTCTGTATAGATGTGTGCATGTCTGTGTGCATATGTGCGTGTGTGTGTGTGTGTGTGTGTGTGTGTGTGTGTGTGTGTGCGCGCGTGTGTGTATTATCATGTGTGTGTGTGTGTGTGTGTGTGTGTGTGTGAGAGAGAGAGAGAGAGAGTAGGCGAGCTGCGGCCTCACAACTCGTGCAGCCAGTGCAAGAAGACACCATCGTTCACAAACACGTGAGCGACTTTCAAAACGAACCGCGACAACTTGTGCGAATATTGCAAAAGAGCATACATGCGGTCCCCCGTCCGGTTTCGCCCATCCGCACGGGTCTCATCAGGAGGGTGACTCCGAAGGAGTCTTCGTGCTCGAAAAGGGAGGCTACGGCCGTGCCTCCCATGCTATATAGTCTTGCTTCTCATAGTCACGTCACCATTCCCTCGCGAACCTGCATCCTTGCTGTCTCCAAGAACCAAAAAGGGCATTGTTGTTCCGCCAGTCAAGACGCTCACCATCTACCAGTCGTCACTGTTGCTCTCCTCATTCATCCCGACTTTTCTGTTTTACCACTGCGGCTGTTCGCAAGATTCCGGTTCTATTCTCGTCACCATGAAGACCGGTGTTCGAGTTTTCAAAAGTCATCTACGACTATCCATACTTAGTCCACATTAGAAACGTCAGACCGGTAGTAGCCGAAGAGAAAATCGTCAGAATAAATAAAGAAAACAAATAAACGAAACAGATACAAAATTACTTGCAGCCGCGCGAAATTTGAGACTATTTGGTTTTATCAGTCAATTTTTCCGCCCCCTTCTATCTCCCTGTGGGCCTGTGGCCCTTCGGAACCCCTACCCTTATCTATCGGTGGCCTGGTCCGTACCCCGTTCCCTCCTTATCCCTTTCACCCAGTCTGCCGACACCCTCATAGCTGAAAGTAAAGTTCTCAGTGCCTGTGTTGGCACAGCCTTGGTCAAATTGACCAAAGCACCGAGAGAGACCTCTGGGGGGTAGCCCCGGAGGTCTGCTTCGCATATCGCGAAGCCCATGGCTCCCAGTACCAGTTGTTTGCTCAACGTGTGGTCCCATACCCTCTTAAGTGTAGCAGTCAACACCGCCTTCTTCACTGCTTTAGCTGAGTACGATTCGTAATCCTGCATAGTCTGGAAGATCAGTCTTCCCTCATTGTTCAGTGACTCGGTATTCTTGCTTACCGGCGTATAGTGCAGTAGCAGAGGTCTGCTACTCACTATCATGTGGCTTCCCATGAAGTCCCATGTGAAACCACAGTCGTCCTTTCGAACGATCTCGAGATGTCTGTAGTAGATCTTCTCGAATCTCTTGAATAACTGTTCCTGGTATCCTTCGTCCTCGGTCTCATCCGTGATGCCAACCACTACCGTAATGTCGTCTTGTATCCGCAATCCACCCACCAGCCTCCTATCGTAACCGAGTTCCTTCAGAAACCGTAGTTCGGCCATCGCACATGTAATCGAGGCCTATACCGGACTTATTGACTTCCCCATTGGAATCCCAAACACCTGTCTGACCAGTGTCTGTCCGCACCTAACAACCGAGTGTCTAAGATCATATTCTACGGCTGCCATCATCTTTCTTAATGATATCCCTACATATCCGGCCATTCCCCTTTTGTTCGAACTAAACACAACCTCCCTCTCATGGAGACCCTCACCTGCTGGACACCTTCATCCTCATACTTGATTAACAGCTGATGTATTGCGTCCTTAACAACTGTATGTGGTATCATAGAAAACATATCTTTTATATCATAACATCTCCCAACAGCGCGTTCGCAGCCTACCGCTCTCATGCGTACTGTCGTCGCATCTAGTTGTTCTCTCATCTCAGAGATCGAATTCAAATAAAACGTACTATTCACGGCGAGGCGTTTCAGTAGGCAGTGCAATGCTCTTGCCACCCTTCTTTGAGCTAATGCCGCTGGATCCGCCGGTGCTGGTGCAATCGGTCCCCAGCGTGTAAGGTCTTTGTGCTTCGGGATGACATACGCTGTCCCCAGTCTACCATCATCCCTCCATTTGCCGATCGTCTCCAGGTGACTTTTGTGAAAATCCTCCCTGATCTCCTTGATAATGTCCTCCTCATCATCTAAACCCCCAATCAGTCTGTAGTTAGCATCCCAAGCAAACGTTTTCCCAAACCCGTGTTGATAAAGGATCAGACACATGACTGCTGTATCCCCCGGATTCCTATCTATCGGTGCTAACACGAGTCCTTTAAAACGTCTCCCCCATTCCCTTACCTCCACGTCGGTCCATGCAGTGGATTCCGTCAACCTATCTGACCATACTTCCTCCCTCTTCACGTTTGGTCGTACCACCCCTTTCACATGCTTGCACACCTCAAGGATAGCTTGAGCTATCATCTCCAAGTTGTTGGCTTTCGCCGGTCTAGTGATATTCTTCGCATTTTTTATAAAGCCCGGAATATCCAAGAGTATGAACCTTGCGAGGACATGTCCTTCGTGTTTGGGAAGATCCATGTCTCTGCATATGCATGACCGTCCCTCTACGGATGCAAACTGCTTTTGGTTATGTAGTAACTCCCCTACGTTCTGATTTCTCATATATACTATGCGCACCCTCGTTTTCACGAAATCCACCAGTTCCTTCTCGGGAATGGCCTCGGGTATCGTCTTCTCAGTGATCTCTCTTACTCCTTTCTTTCGTACTCTCGTATCGTACAATAACTTTACGCATATCTTTTACCGTACGCTGATCCCTGATTTACTGGCTAGTACCCTATCGATCTTCGTTCGCAGTCTGTGCTTAGTCTGTTTCTCCGCGAACAAACCTGCAGATCAGTTTCCTGCACGTCAGCGTCCGTAGTTGTGAGTCCGGTCTCGGTCTGCATAGAATCGACGCCTGCAATGCCTTGTTTCGCTCTGTTGTGGTCTTAGCTCTTATTACCTTTATGATTCTGACGTCACCTCCCGACTGTAGTTCCTGTTTTGCCTCCCGCAGCGCCATCCTCCTACCCCTTATCTCCAGTATGGAATCTCCAAAAGCTCTCTTCAGTTTTCGCCATCCATCTATCCACACATCCCCCCCGGAACAGTTTAGTCTGATCTCGTCTTCTTCGCCCTTCTGTGCTTTTAACCAGATCAGCAGCGAAGCTAACTCCAGTTTCCTAAATCTAAAGGTGACCACTTTCCCTGCTTGCCTCTCCCTCCTCCTCCCTTTCCTTTCCCGTCTCCCCTTCCTCCTTCTCCCCTTCGTCATCTTCTCCTTTTTACTGATGTCCCGTGTATTCAAGCTCGGGTTGAAGTCTGCTATTAGATACCGTTCAAATTCGAAATCATCAGTCTCATTCACATGTCTCAGCGGTATATCAACGTACTTATCCAGACCGAATCTCCTCAACCATCTATACAGGTGCGGGGCAAGTCCCAAGGCATCGCTTAGTCCGTTTCGGCAATGCTCCCTCCACCTTTGTATAATTGGCCTAACCGTACTCCCAACGTACACCTTTTTAATCCACGGGCTAACTATGATATATACCCCTCCAGTTTTTAGTTTCAGCATATCGGTCAGATCTAAAGCTCTAGCCACATATTTTTCAAGCGATGGTATCTGCCCCCTTACCGTCAGTAGGAGCATCGTCGAGGTAATAGCGCTCTCCACCTTCCTACTTACCTCACCCGTGACACCCTGCTCCCTTAGCTCTACCCTTTGCTCTATCCATCTATTCAGTACGTTCCATATTTCCGCATTAGTCGGTGCCCCTAACCTTCAGTCCGAGTTCTCAGTCGGTTGTACCGGCGCCGAGCGGATGATTGTTGGCTCCTGCCTCTTAACTGGTTTCTCCATCGTTGTCCTGTCCTTCACGAAATCCTTCCTAGGTGTTCCTGATGCCTTCGTTTTCATTGCCTCTTTGGTGTTGCCCTGCGCCTCCTCGAAGCCATCGTAGGCCAGTTGCACTTGATGTCTTGCAAGAATCTCTACTATCTCAGGCTTCTTCGTGTACTTAATCCCCCTCTGTTCACATATCTTCCTCAGTGTGTCCGCCTTCTTCGCCGAGTAAATCTTGTGTGCCGATATGCAGTATTCGATCAAACTCTTCTGTGAACAGCCTGCGGCCAGTCCCTTGAAGCCTCCCGTCAAGGGTGTCTTCGGTTCGGCTCCTTCATCAGGTCCTATCCCCAGCTTCTCATCTTCCTCCCCGTGTGTCTCTTGCCGTGCCTTCGAGCTTTCCTCTCTCTCGTACACTCTCGCTGGTGTATGCACCTCGTCCATCCGTCCCTTCCTCGTAGTGTTCTTGGTTCTTGTCTTGCCTTTAACGTTCCCCGTACCTCGCCTTCCATACGTCTTGTTGCGCACATGCTTCCCCTCCGAACCGGAGTCTGATGATGTGACCTCTGACGTAGAATCCTCCGCCGAGGTCGAAGTGTCTGAGTCTTCGCTAGAATCTACCCGCCTTCTACCCCTCCGCGCTCTTCGTCTTTTCGCCCCTCCGTGCTCTATCGGATACTTCTTCTTTTTCTTCTTAGCCCTCTTCCCCGATCTCCCAACCTTCTCAGTAGCTTTCTCCGCCTCCCCATGGCTCTTCCTCCATTCCTCCAAAAGTTCAGCGTGCAGTTGCAGTTTAAACTCCTCCGCCTTCCTTGCAAAATCCAGGTTCCTCTTAGTCTCCTCCTCTTCCCTAATTCTCTTCTCGTCTTCCTTCCTCCTCTTCTTCTCCTGTTCCAGTCTCTCCTTTTGTGCTAGTCGAAACTGTTCCTTGATCTCCTCTAATTCAGGATCTTCTTGTAGTCCTCCTTGGTTCCTCCCTTATCTGGACCAGTAGTCACGCGCCATGTGGCCGATTTTCCCGCAGTTAAAACACGAGTTGTTCCCGCCTCCCATCCTTCCTCCCCCTCCCATATATCCGTTCGTATTTCCGTAAGTCTGCCCCCCGCCGACCTGTTGTCCGCTTGCGATACCCTGCCCCCCGGCCCCCGCAGGGCCCGTCGTCAGATACATCGTTGCCCGTCACCGTGGTTTCGCGTCTATCCTTGGTTAGAACGTCCACAACCTCCTCCTACCTCGGCTACCCGTGCTCGCCGTGTTCCTTCCTCCTTCTTCTCGTACCTACAGTGTCACCCGTATACGATTCCTCTAATCCTAGTCTACACCCAAGCCCCTATCATTATTTGTCGATCACCCCTCTTATTCTCTCCAAATATCAACTATCTCACGGTACTGAATCCTCCTTCTTGCACGTAATGCCAACAAAGTGGTTTCTATCTTAATCAGCAAACTCATCAGGCAGTCGTACAGACCGTTCCTCAAGTTTTCATCCCTCATGAGGCCTATCATAAAGTGCATGGGCTGTATAGTCTCTGTCACATAGTCTTCCAGTGCGTGAATGAGTCGTGAGCGAACTGATATGAACCACCGTCCTCTACCACACGCTCCCCCACATATCGTGCATGGAATTTCCATCACGTCATAATGCGGATCCTACAATAATCAAACCTATTCCACATAGTAGCACCCCTATACCGTATACAATCTCCCTGATCCCTCTGCTCCTCATCCCCACGTCTTTCCCTCCCCGTTCGCCTTCCT